CATTATTATACAAACCAGGACCTAATTCATCTCGAAGGGGCTACGGCATGTCGAACCAAGGAGTAAAGAACTACTAATTTGTGCGCATCACTCAATAAGGATTCTTCGACTTTTACATTGTACGACTCAGATTAGGCAAGATTTTGATTTGGCAACAAGTTTTCGCGATTAAAAAGAAGAGCACAGGGATTTTACCGTACTCCAGAAAGCATAACAGTTAGGGGTACAGTAAGCATAATAGTTAGAAGGGAGGGGAGGGGAGATTTTTTTCAAAACGTGAGTTAAGTAATGCGTAACACTTTCATAACATTATCATAGGAAACGTACCTCTTGAGGAGGAACATCGAATGAGACCACCCTGAGATCAATTTTTTTATACGAGTCAATACATGGCAGTATAAAAAAGATACCTGGAAAAAATTAGGTAAGATTTTTTCTAGTCTCTGCCATTACAGTACAACTTACCAGGTCCTTTTGCTCCTCCTGGCATTAATCGACCAAGTCGGAAGATGACTGCACGCTCATACTCTTGAACTACCTGAAATTATGCATTTTGCGTTACCATGATCTCTATTCAAAACGTCTTTATTTTTCCTTTCGACGCTGTCAGCCCTTCGGCAGTTCATTGAGAAACTCCAAAGCTGCGTTCCATACTTTGCGACAGCGTCCACCAGCGAAGTAGCGTCCACCAGCGTTCCGAGCGTCCGGCAGCGTCAGCGACTAGGAAAGTATAGATATCGATCTAGCGTCTGCTAGCGTCTAACAGCGTCCAGGCGGAGAGTATGGCGCGATAGGAGGGTAGCAGACAGCTGGTAGAGTATGGGGAGATAGGAGGGTAGCAGACTGCTGGTAGAGAGTATGGCGCGATAGGAGTGTAGACAGCTGGTAGAGTATGGGGAGATAGGAGGGTAGCAGACTGCTGGTAGAGAGTATGGCGCGATAGGAGGGTAGCAGACAGCTGGTACCCTCCTATCGCCCCATACTCTCTACCAGCAGTCTGCTGCTGGTCGCTGGTGGACGCTGGTAGACGCTGGCAGACGCTAGATCGATATCTATACTTTCCTAGTCGCTGACGCTGCCGGACGCTCGGAACGCTGGTGGACGCTGCCGCAAAGTATGAAAACAGCCTAAGGAGATTTGGAAAAGTTTAGAGCATTAGTCAAGCATGACCTGACGGGAGCTGGTAGTGGTTCACTTCTGAATAGAAAGTTCCAATCATATTAGATAATCAAGCATGTATTTACTTGGTTGTAAGATCTGTCCCGTCGATGTCAGAATCACACAGTAGTCTTGTTCGCTGTGGATGATGGAGTTTCAAAGAGGCTGGGTTTGGCGCGGTGCCAGCTCGTTCTCCCACAGTTGAAGAAGCGGGTAAGCGGCAAGAATTGTAGAAAACGATCGATACGGACGACGTGATGCCTAAGTCTTGTGCTTGCACACCTCAACAATTGCTGAAAAGCGGCTTTGCGCGCGCGCAAAAAACCCACTCACCTGGCAACGGAGAAGCTGCACATCGTGGATTGCGCTCCAAAGGGGTTCGTCTGTCGTATCATGCATTAGAAGGACTGTGCTGTGTGGATGCGCTTCAAAGGGGTTCGTCTTTGGTCACTGTATAGGAGGATCGTACCTGGCAATGCGGGAACTTTTTCGATTCTAAGGAACAGTTTGGCTCAGGGTAGGGACACCTTCAAGCGCTTTAGCCAATTCCTGTTGTCATATCGCGCCATCGAGTACATGGAGATTTTTGAAATCTTGTGAAGGTGGGAACTGGTACCAGTCAAATTTTGTGGAGATAACTTGTACTCTTATGAAGAAATACCTGTCAACTCTTGTGAAGCAATAAACACGACGATAGAAAAAAAGCGAAAGTGCGAAGTGCCCCCCCCCCCTCCTCCCAAGCGAACCGCGCCGTTTTTGATATTTTCCTATTTTGGGCGCGGTACAGATGATATCGCCCCAATACAACTGGGCAATACGACTGGGCGGTGTAAGAAGGCGTCAATGAGCACGCGTGGTATTTTCTACAAAAGGTTGTTTTCAACTTGGAGTTAGTTTTAGAGAGTGTACCCTTTGGACACGTTGGTAGCCAATGGTACGCGATATAGTCGCAGACGGTCGGGAGGTGACAAGACCAGGGCACATCATGGGTTGGGGAATTTGGTCAAGCCCGTACGACCACTCCCTCCTTCCCCATCCCATCTACCACTTTCCTGAATT